AAAAAAAAAAAAACTGAAGAAACATGAAAATTAAAACGAAAATCTTCGCCAAGATGATTTCAGAAATGAATCTGTCAACTAAATGATCCGTTGGTCGGTTGGTTCCAGGTAACGTCCCGTGTCCAATCGTTTATGGTGCTGTGGTGGACTCCGCTTGTCTCGTATGGGAATACGCTTGCGGCGAGCGTGGTGCCTGCTGGCTTTACGACTCGAATGTCTTTAGAATGTTCTATCATGGTACGTACGCGGTTAAGAAGAAATCTGCGGCGAACAGCAGTCGGAAATATCTTCACCTTGATTCTCTCTCTGACTGGCTACTGCTCGTTATTGCCTGTTATTATATGTCGAGGCTAAATTTCTGTTGATTCCTTGCCTTATCACGCCGAGCGAGATACAAAAAAAAAATTTCTCTTAACCTCTTGCCTTGTAACGTCAATTCGTGATCCGAATTTTCGGTAAATATGAAAAACAACGAAAGTTACATGCTAAACTAGGACACTCGAACGATCGAATTCGTGGCTCAGGTATTACATTTGCCTTCAAAAGTTTTATTTTTCTATTGTACTGTTTTCTCTATTGTAAAGATTATCAAAAAGTATGTGCTAAACAGAAAATTATTCAACAATTTTTCATCGAGTGACCAACTTTATGAATAACTGTATCTATAAATAAATAAATAAATCAGCCAGATCGCATCGATGAGCTTTCAACTTCGTTACGGCTCGCGCCTTGACGAATGAAATTACAAGGCAAGGGGTAAAAATTTTACTCGAATGAAAGAAAAGTTATTTGCACATAGAAATTGGCCGTCCTCGTACGTTTCATTAACAATTTATTAACAAACGTCTCTTTAACGAGTCTGTCCGTGGATCACTAGGTACCACAGGTGGAATCCTGATTCTCGCGTTCGTGGTCGACATAGTGGTGTGGTACAAGGCGGGGAGCATTAGCTTCGTGGAGGAGCAAGAAGCGGAAGAGGGCACCGTGGAAGAAATGGCCACCCTGAAGTCGCAGGATGCGCAGGCAGTGGACAACGACTATTTATGAAAGGGTACCGGTCGACTTCGATGCTATCTCATCAAGCACAGGCCTGAATCTAGCGTCGTAAACCGGGACAAAGCGTGACGAGCCGTTCCTAACTGACGAGAACTCGGTGCCAGTAGCACGCTGAAGGTTCAAGATCACGGCAAGATCGGTGTTGATCTTCGTGTGTCACGTTCGTCGGCCGTTTCCTTTTCGCTGGGTTTCGTTCCTTTTTTTCTTTCTTTCTTTTTCCTTTTCGAAACCTACGACCCGGAGCCTCTGTTGCCTGTTCAGCAAAACGACGAAGCGAAGAAGGATCCAAGAGGAAACGACGACGCTGGTGCTCGCGTCGATCGCCTTTCGAAACTCGAAAGTAGAGTGAAGATGAGATCGGACGATGAACGAACTGTTGAAGAAGGCGGCTGTAGGCCACGGAAAATACCTGTAGTTTCCGAAGAGGCTGTGCCGAGATTTCAAAGAAGCGCGTCGGGGGATGAAGACAGAAAAGGGAGACGAAAGGGTTCGATAATCAACGACATGATTGTTCTTGAGGTTCTTAAAGAATTCTTGGAGACGCGAAGATAACAAAGAACAACGATTTGAATTAGAGATAAAGCGGTACGAGGTACATCCAGAGGAGAGAGAGCGAGAGAGAGAGAAAGAGAGAGAGAGAGTGAGTGAGTGATCGAGCAGAAATGTCAGGTAATATGCGGAATTTCGTATTTAGAAAAGGAAAAGAAAAATGAAGGAAATTGCGATATAATGATCCATACGGACGACGAAACGCATGGTTCTTTTGGCACGCGAGGTTCTCGGATTTTGGGCGAGCTTCTATTAGGCACTACCGTCCGTGTTCCACTCTGCAAATACAACTAGGCGTAGGCAAACTGTACGTACAAGCGATTTACGATGTGTGTATGTGTGTCGGTAATATTTATCTGGGACGAAATGCGCGATATTTGTCGTTGTTTTTGCTAGGGAATAAGGAACAATAAACGAAAGATCAAAGGATATAACAGGGACAGATAAAAAAAAGAAGAGAGAGAGAGAGAGAGAGAATCTGGGAGCGAATGAAGAAAATAAGAAAAATACATAGGACATATTTTTTAGATGATTTGACGATGAAAATCCGGACGATAAAGAAGATAAAAAGTAACGTTGATTACTAATTATTAAAGCGTTAGCGGATACGATACGCAGGGAGAGGAGTGACGACGTAAACGAAAAGCAAAAATAAAATAGGACGCAAGAAGTATGGGAGAAAATTGAAATTAAAAGGGGTGGGAGGGGGAAATCTGAGAATTAAGAGCTGTATTTTAATATGATACATTTTACACACTCGTGAGACACTCGTCGATGTATGCGCATCTGCCGCCTGTGCTTTAGTGCTTTGGGCGTTCATCGTTTTCGAGTCCTATTAGATGGCTGACCTGGTCGTTTATTAACCCTTTGTAATAGTAGACTCTCTTTAGATTTCGATAAAGATTGACCGTAATTCCTCAGTTGGAAGAATCCAATAATAAATTCAAATCAATACATGTAATATAAACTCGAATGGATAATCAATCGAATTAAAACAAAAAGTACTTTATGCATTGTATATCGTTTTATATATTATATTTTTCAATTAGTGAATTGTTAGAGTAATTGTTGGTGGAATTTTATAATCAAAGGGTTAAGTAGGTGGACGGTCAGTGTACTGGATAGTTGTATGTCTTGCATTAAATGGCGAAACGAGAGAGAAAGAAGAGAACTGTTTCAGAAGAAAGAAAGAAAGAAATTAGAAATTAGAAACGCGCATTTAGGGTACGCATTAGCCGCTATGAAGTTCGCGAATTATTCGATTCAGGGGCATTGCTAATATATTATACCGTTTTGCGTTTTCTTCGAAGAACATTTGGTTGAAAGCTGAGATCCATCAGAATTGTATTATAAAGAGAGAAATAAGCAATTCTATCGAAAAAATTTAAAGGAAAAACCAGGTAATTTTCCAATAATTCTCCAAAGAAATGAACAGAGCGAGGAACGGGGATTATATTTTTGAAGAATTTTAATTTTGATCAATTCTGTATT